AAACCATGTAGGCAGATGTGATGCAATTTGACTTAAATTCTTTCTATTGGCTCTCTAAGTATATCTGTCCACAAGGAAATGTCATATTCATGGAGAGTTCTGAGAATTTTCTGCTTTCCTCTCACAGATTTCCAACACTGTAATAACTAAATTACATAGCTAAGACTGCAGACGATTTGGGAAATTTGCTGCAATTATTTCTTGTAAGTCCTACATGTTTTAATACTTAGCATTTCATTTTTTTGCTAGTTTAAAATATAGGCTACAAAGTGAAAAACACAAGACGTTTAAATACTGTGCGATTTTGTTGAAGTTGTGCTGCAAGAAATTGCAATTTGCGTCTGCCAATTTGTATCCTTTTGAGAAATTGAAAACTCCTCATGGATCTCCTAAACATTTGAGTGAGGATCTCAGCTAGCCTTTCCTTTATTCTTATCCTAGAGTTGCATTCTCTCCTGTTTAGCATCATTCTCATCACCTCTTAATTAGAAAAGCATTCAAAATAAACCCCAGCTTACAAAAACACAATTGAACATTCCTTCATTTTCAAGAATTTTCTTCAAGCACAGTGAAATTTCAAGAACAGAGGCATGGAACCTCGTTTTATGTTGAATGTCCCATTTAAAATGTGATTACCTTGGTTTTTAGAATTGTATTCTTTATTTCTCTCTGGTTTCCTGCTACTGTTGCAATTGTCAATTTCCAAATATTCTGATCAAATCTCACTGTAACATTAGCTTAGATTTGCTACACATTTGTTTTAAAATATACAAGTTCAGATGTAACATAAATGTATAGCTGAACAATTTTCCACCTAATAATTTTGTATATAATTTTTCTCACTTGTTTCTCAAGTTTACTACCCCTCTCAAAATTTAAATATCCATGACTTTCAGGATATTCAGCTTTTTGTATGTCATAACAGCAAATCCCACACAGTACACATTTATTTTAATGATTTTTAATTAATTTCATTATAATTTATTAATAGTATACCATTGTTTATGGCGGTTTCAAACACATCCCAGATCCTGTACTTCTTGAGAAAATTGAACTCCAATTTTATTTTTCCAATGAATGCCTCTACAGCATCTTAAGTGAAAATATACCGATATGGCCAGTGAGTCCAGTGGGGCATTACCATGGTTTGTGCTGCTTTTTGTTCCCCTCAGGTTTAGATTTTTCAATGATTTATCGATTACCTTATTTTTTAAAGATTTAAAATAAATTCATGTGTATAGTGTTTGTCTGCATGTATGTATGTACACTTCCTGCATTCAGAAGGCAGCATGGAACCCCCTGGAACTGGACTTAAAAAGCATTGTGAATAGGCATATGGTTGCTGGAAACAGGACCCAGTTCCTCTGAAACAGAGGCAAGTGTGCTTAACCACTGAGCCACAACTCTAATGCCTATTTATCTTTTAGACAGGTTTTCAAGTATCCCAGGCTATTGTCCAGGAACTGGCTCTGTGGCCAAGGATAAGTTTGAATTCCTGACCCTCCTGTAAGTTTGAATTCCTGCCCCTCCTGCCTCCAACCTCTAAGTGTTCTTCTATGACTTCTTGAGCCAACTTTGCTGCTGTGGCTGCTGCTGTTGATAGTCTCTTGTCATCTCAGCCTGGCCTGTTAAAGAAAATAGAAAATGTGTAGATTGACCAAGGTGGACCAGATCTGAACAGGAATTAACTCATCATGGAGCAGATGGCATCAACTGCTGAGGAAGAGCACAAGGATGAAGTGGCAGCGGCCACTTTCTTGCTCATGTTGGTAGCATCAAAATGGGCAGTAGATTTCAAGTTTGAATGAGAACAAAAAAGCACAAAGAACAGAAGAAAGCCATAGAAGACCCTGCTAAGCATTTCTCATAGTGACACGAGCTTCACTTTCAGACAAAATTTTTTTTTTTTTTTTTTTGGCAATAGACAAAACATGCAAGCCCATGAAAGTTGTAGGCTAATACGTTTTCCTGCTCTTCTTAATCTTCCCAAGTAGTTGAAGCAGGCTGCAGACTGCTTGTTTCATGAATCTTAATATCACCATTACACATCTTTTATTTTTATTTTTGTAATTTCATCCCTTCCCCAGTATCTATACTTAAAAGTTAAACAAATAGCAGGAAACTCCAGTTAGCTTCTCTTATACCTAACCAATGTAATTCACCTTTGGGTTTGAGTCAAGGACTGGGAGAAAAAAAAAACATTAGCAAGCAAGTCATACTTTAATGTAATACGTTTCTGTGTGCTTACTTTTTCATTATGAAAAATGCAGAGAAAAGCTGCGATAGTTTAGCAAGCTTTCTAAGCAGGATGTTCATTCCAGGTAAAACTAATGTTCTGCTACAGCTGTTGACTAGCAGCTACAAAATATATCCTATGCAGCCACAGAACAAGGCACATCAAATTTGTTTATTAGTCTTCATTTTGGCTCTGCCATACAAGTAAACCCACCCTATAATTTTTTTTAAATAATTTTTATATTCTTTGAAAGTTCCATATATTTATATGTATTTTAACTATAGCCATCCACCACTACCACCCTTCAATTCCCCCAAATCACACCTCCCCATCTTCTGCCCATCTTCATGTCTTCTTTATATATATTAGAGAGTACATTAACCAGTTTATTACAGGGCCAGAAAAGGAGAGCGAGAGAGGGCAAGACAGAGAGAGGGTAAGAGTGAAGAGCAGAGAGCAAAGAGAGAGAGGAAGGTAAGAGAGTGAGAGGGTAAGAGAGCATAAATGGTTGGGGGGGTCTGTCTTTTAACGGGGTCCTTTACACCTGTGTGCAGACTAGTACCCATGGAACCCTGGGCTGACCAGAGTACTGCCTGAATGCATTCTGCCAGTTAACCGGGGCAGACCAGCATAATGCATGAACCTTTCATTCCTACCTTTACTTATTATTAAAAAAGGTGGGGAATTAGGCACGGCAGGTTAGGGAAGAAGGACGTCGAGTTCTCAAGACTACTTCCTGCTGACCTGGGGGGTGTTGATCATCTTGGGGGACCTGAGAAAACTGGGGTGGTGCCACATCCTATTACAGGGCAAGAGAGGGAGAGACAGAGAGAGGGTAAGAGTGAAGAGCAGAGGGCAAGAGGGCAAAGAGAGGAAGGTAAGAGCATGAGAGAGAGGGAGAGAGAGAGAGAGAGAGAGAGAGAGAGAGAGAGAGAGAGAGAGAGGAGACACTTTATATTTTTGACATTAATAACCCAGAGTTCTGTTAATGTTGTTCATATGCACATGCTAACTGGTCATGCTGACAAACCACGTTGTAAAGGTTTATTCACATAGAGTTTGTCTGCTCCCAACTCTGATCACAGAAGCTCCTTTGTACCCTGGAGAATAGTTAATGTAGAGACCCAGAACTGGTCTAAGTACTGATTATAAATAACTCTTGAGTGTTCATCTGAGGATGGGTCATCTATGTGATAAGCACTCTTGATGAGTGCAAAAATATCAATTAAAGGAGGCATTTTTGCTGCCTAGGAACAATTTGCTTCTTGATATTTATATCATAACTTGAGTACATTTGAGTACTTATGCATGTAATACATGCGATAGAAAATTGCTATTAAACAAGAATAAAGGAAACATACCGAAATATATATAATATGCCTTGTTTTGTGGCAGCATAGGTTTCCAAAGGGGATATATTGTGTAGCCACTAGGCAACACTGATAGCAGAAGCTTTAAAACTTTTACCTGGAATTGAACAATCTTCTTAGAACTGTTACTAAAGCTTAGCACCATTTCTCTGTGTGTTTCATAATGAAAAAAGTAAACACACAGAAACATGGTGGGGTCTGGCATGATTATTACCAAAGCTTATGCTCAAAGACCCAGAAATTCTTCTTCCGGTCACAGTCGTTTCCTACCATCTTGAGGAAAAACATCTGTATGGAGAAATAGTAAATGCAAAATAAGGTACTTTACTACTTCTAGTGCTTGTTATATCCTTATGTTCTTTCTACCAGGTGCAGAGCACATTAGTAAAACTGAATTTAGGGAGTCTAGTCCTCTTACTAGACTCAACCCCAAATTTGTGGATGTGATTACCTTGTGACCAGCTGTGATGTATGGATCAAAAATACTGTCACCTATGAAAAAAAAAAAAAACAAAAGTCATGATAGTGTGACCTTCTCCAGATCAAAGGACGGGCAGGCCCTGGGAATTTGAAATCGGCAGCTCACATCTCTCTAGGTAAAATACTCTCCCTCCTCTCCTCCCACCTGTTATCCTCCCCTACTTCCTTCCCTTCCCCTTCCCTATACACATTAGTTCGCTCCCTTCTTCCTCCCATTCACTTCTTTCTCACCCTTTTTCTTTCCCTTATCTACTTCCACTTTCCTCTTCTTCCTCTCATGATCTCCTCCTTCTCCTGTCCCATTCCTCTCCAACATGTCCATTGGTTATCTTCAAGTTGAAGAATTATGATCTAGGAAATATATCAGAATGTTAATAGTCATATATTTATTAAACAGTCAAATCTCAGTATTCTAGACTTTTTATGATAATCACAGTTTTTATAATTAAGAGAAAAAGGCAACATTTTGTAGCATGGCAGTTTATTTGACATTTATTTATTTACTGTGCAGTAAAAGAACACAAAAAGTCAAATAATGTAATAATTTTCAACAAAAGGCAAAGTAAAACACAATACAAACAAAATATACTTTCTTTTCTTTTCAATTACACAATATACAATGATGCAACTCTTTAAAATACTGTATCATATTTAACACCTTAAATAATACTTTTGCTTATAGACCAGTACATCACATAAACAAACCCACAAAAGTCTAATGTGGTACTGACAGATATTTTTAAATATATTATCATCTTTTTTCTCAAGCAACTACATTTCACAATAGAATGTTTTAGTTAGCATTATTACTACATTTCTATGGCAAAGTAATGAAGGCACAACTAGTGCAAGCAGATTTAAGTCCTTAATCTTCTGGGCTGAAAAAAGAAAGAGAAAACACATATACATTGGCATTTAAGTTTTGCTTTTTCAGGCAAAGATTTGTCTAACAAGTCTGACAATTTGCACAGGTACAATCTAATAGGAACATGACATAAGGACTTCACAAAACCAACACTGTAGCACCAAACAAAACATGCTTTGGAACATTAACAGCACTTTACATATTTTGAAGAATATTACAACAGGCAAGACAGTTTTTAGGACATTACCAGGAAAACTGAAAACACCAGACTATAAGGAGTAAGGAGTAGTAGTGTTCAGGTTATAGGACAAGTTTTATCTTTTACAAGGTTAGGTGAATCTGTTTTACTTCTGCTTGCTTCTTGACTTTTTAACATTCTTGAAAAATCTTTCAGCTTGCCCTTTTCACTTGTAGTACTTCCTGTTTCCGTAATCCCTGACATCATGGTAGTAGGGATCATTGATTTCTCCTGTGAAGTAATAGATTGATTTCAAGATGACATTATCATGCAAAATTTGACCAATTTCAAAGTCCTCATCAAGGATAGCATCTTCTCTTGGTTCCAGCTTCCCAATCAAAGGAATCTCAGGAGGATTAAAGAAATTGAAGAAGGATGCATTAGGAACCAATCTTGGCTGGACTTCAATTGCTCCAGTAGCAGCTGGGCGACCCGGGGCGGTTGTCACTGTAACATCTTTTCCTCTTCTCCAATCTATTTTGCAGCCTTTGCACTCTTCAATTTCCCATCCCCAAGCAAAGAAAGGGTCATAGTGATCTGGTTTTGACCTTATTATGTATGTCTTCATCAGGAGCTCATTTCTGAAGTATGGGTTAGGCAGGAAATGAAATTCAAAAGTGTAACTTACAGGCTGGCCAGGAGTTGAGAACTTCAGGCTAACATCAGACAAGAACTTCAAAATGGGCTCATCATACTTTTGGATCATAGGCCCAAGCTTATCAACATTCTTTAAAACAGTCAGCCAGTAGTCAGGAATACCTTTAGGATCTTCTCTCTTAGGTTTTCCCTTTCGAGCCCTTTTAACATGCCCTCTTTCAGGCCTTGTCTCAGGAACTCTTTTTTGAGCCTCTCTTAAGGGAGCCCTTGGCTTAGATTCTTCTGTAGGCTGATCTTTATTTTCTGCATTTGCTTGGGGAACTTCTTTGGGGTCTTCTTTTTCTTCCATCTTTACCTCAGGAATTTCTTCAGAGGCTTCCTTTGCTTCCATCTTTGGCTCAGGAATTTCTTCAGAGGCTTCCTTTGCTTCCATCTTTATTTCAGGAATTTCTTCAGAGGCTTCCTTTGCTTCCATCTTTACCTCAGGAATTTCTTCAGAGGCTTCCTTTGCTTCCATCTTTGCCTCAGGAATTTCTTCAGAGGCTTCCTTTGCTTCCATCTTTGGCTCAGGAATTTCTTCAGAGGCTTCCTTTGCTTCCATCTTTATTTCAGGAATTTCTTCAGAGGCTTCCTTTGCTTCCATCTTTGGCTCAGGAATTTCTTCAGAGGCTTCCTGTGCCTCCATCTTCACCTCAGGAATTTCTTCAGAGGCTTCCTTTGCTTCAACCTTCACCTCAGGAATTTCTTCAGAGGCTTCCTTTGCTTCAACCTTCACCTCAGGAATTTCTGCAGAGGCTTCCTTTGCTTCAACTTTTTCTTCAGGAACCTCTTTTGGAATTTCTTTTTCTTCAGTTTTCACCTCAGGACTTTCTTTGGGAGCTTCACCTTCAAGTTTTGCGTCAGGAACTTCATTTGGAACATTCTTTCCTTCTTCCTTTACTCCAGCCTCTTCTTTACGGGCTTCTTCTTCCTCCTCACCCTCTAAGGGCGGCATTTCATCAGGTGTGTCATTCTGCATTTCCTCATCACCGCTGAACTCCTCCTCCGAGTTCCATTCACATTCTTCCTCCGTAGGCTCATATTCTGCATTTATGATCTGAAAACGCTTATCATAGAGAGGCTTATTCAGCTCCGCATATTTCCTTTCAAGGTCATGAATT